CCACATAATCCCCCTAGGGTGGCACACCCCATTTTTTTGTCACTTTTAGTTGATAGTTTTAGTTTGTCAGGAATCTTTTAAAATTAAAAAGATTTGATTCGTTTTCAAATGAGAATTTTTTGTTAAAAGATTATCTTTGACTTCCTATAGATTGGAAGATTTCGATAATACTAAAAATAATTATTATTTAAATTTAAATAGAAGTTGGATATGGGTTAAATTATAAGGGGATAAAGTTCTTACTTTCCACCCAAAATCATGATGGCTGATTTGTAGGACGAATGACTCTGATTCGATCCCTTTAACCCCACATATTCCCTATATATTCTATTCCCTATATATTCTATTGGTCAAGCTGAGAATAAGATAATGTATACTTGGATGGAATCCTACTTCAAGTGGGACATAGATTTGTTTCTATTTAACAAAATTTGAACCCCTCTCGCAAAGTATCAAATCAAGATCTCTCTCTCTCTCTCTCACCCTAAGATCTCTCACCCCCTCATGCCAACCTCTCTCTCCCATACTTTCTCACACCAACCTCTCTCTCCCCCATACTTACTCACACCAACCTCTCTCTCTTCCCATAGTTTGGGATTCCATCCTCTCTCCCAATCTTTTATGCCTGTAGTCACTTAATGAAAATAAATGAAGAAGGATGGGATGTGAAACCCTAAGTGGGGTTTGCTAATTTTTGAAGAAAAGAGAAGTACATGCAGCCTAGATAGAAATCAACACTAATGTTCAGCCCAAATTTGTTCCTATAGGGCTTGTACAAATCCTAGTAGAGTTTTTGAGCTCTCTAAAATCCTAGATTGAATGGTATTGCCTGTAGAGCTGCCCTATCTCAGAAATTCCAGCAAGACCTAAAAGACTAGAAGTGCACCATCGGTCAGGGAATTGGGTGTGGGGTGTATCAAGACCTGAGAGGGTAACTCCAGACATCTTCTAGTAAGTTGTTTGCTCCTGGATGATTTTAATTTGTTTTGGTAGTTAAAGTGAAGATCCTAAGTTGTGTCTAGGGTATTAAATTTGATTTACAGTACAATGTGGCCTATGTAAGTGGAATTCAGGTATATTGAATAAAAAAAAATAAAAAAAATAAATTTATTACCTTGAGTTCCACATAGCCACTCCTTTCGAGAAGTGCTTAGTGACTTACCATTGGCAATTTTACAATAGATTCCAACAATCATCCATTGTGACAACCAAACTGCCAGAGCTATCACTAAACGCCGTATGAACAACAACAATTCAAAACATATCATATTGATAGGAAGCCAGAGAACATATAGAACACTGGAAAATAGAGGAAATATATTAACCTGATGATCTTATAGTTGCTGATCATTAACTAATTGTTTCGACACTAGTACACTTGATTGGAGTGTGATTGATAGGGATTGAGATGCGCAGGAGCCATTTTGATAGGCCTGTGATGTGCCACCCTGACATTCATGAATTTCTTATGGAAACATGACCTGGGCCATGTTATATGTTGTCTTTGGAGCATTGGTGCATGTGTGGTATGATGGGTTGCAAATGTGGCAACATTAGCCTTCAAGCATATGTGATTATGTAAGTGATCTTTGAGGGTGATAGAATATGCCGTTGGGACAATTTTTTATTTTTTTAAATATGATTTGTCAATGGGTATTTAATTGGTCAGTGTGTGGTGAAAACCCTCGGAGGTGATTTAGTGTCACTAAGCAACCACTAACTAGCACGTCTTCATAGACCATGACATCTGCATTCTCTAGGCCACAAAGAAGCAATGAGCAAGATTTGTTATCCATTCTTTTGTGGGTCCTTATGGGATTGTGGCCTGACTTGCTGCAACAATCGTTTATCCACATGTTAAGATGATGGTTATCCACCCATATAGTGATGTATGAGATCCACATATTAAGGAGATTTGTTTCATATTGTGTGATATATATTATGTGGTAGAGTGTCCAGCCGACAATAACCACTACTAATTGATTAGATGCAACTTATAAGTCTGCAGATTTGCTTATGTGTCTGCCTAAAAGACAACTTTTTTTTTTTCCCCTCAAATAATTTGAAACAAGTGTGGGAATATCGGCTTTTTGTTTCTTTCTTATTTGTTATGACATTGCCTAAAAGACAACTTTTTTTTTTTTACCCTCAAATAATTTGAAACAAGTGTGGGAATATCGGCTTTTTGTTTCTTTCTTATTTGTAATAAAAATTTAAAAGTAAATTTTCTTTTCCCAAAGATATTTTCCAGTATATCCACTGCTTTTCAGAAGCATTGCATGTCTTATACATTAGACCAGCCACCTATGATATCTATATGTTGAATTACTGTTTTTAAACCGTTCCCCACGTTTTTTTCAAAATAAGTGTTACCCATCTTTCTCTCTTTATGAAACATTATAGGCAAGTTACTAAGAGGGGTTTTTGTGAGAGTTTGTGCGATGTAATGCATGGCTGTCTTTCTATCTACAAAACCACATCTCTATAATATCCTCAGTGACCTGTTAAACCTGGCATGTGATCCCTCTCTCTCTCTCTCTCTCTCTCTCTCTCTCCCCTCTGTGTTAAAAGAAATAGAAAACCTCCAGGGACACCGGGCTTCTATTCTATTGCCGTCTCATTCTCTTTCCTCTACACAGCACACCACTATTTTTGTGCACTCAAGAACACTCTAGTTCTGTGCACCAAAGCGGATTGCATAGTACTCTTGATTAAACACTACACTACTCCATATTGGTGATCCAGAAAACACTCTGAAATCGTGCACCATGATGGACTGCATTCATGTACTGTACTGCATGCCAGGCCACCCTGGTCTGTGCTCCACTATAGATGACGAGACTGCATTCTAACAGAGGGATGGCAACCCTTTGCCAAGCTTTTGGAATTGTTTTCAATTTTGTATTTTACTTAAAACAAATTGAAGTTTGAGATGATATTTGACGTTTGAGTAATGTACGTTCTATACATCAATACTATTATATAATGCTTGTGCATTTGTATATTTTCACAACATGCTGTGTAATGCTGTCACATGGCATCCAATCAATTCATTGTAATAAATATCAATATAGATATAAGCAAATTGTTCATGGTAAGTTTTAGTTAGTATGTATCACAGTGATAAATACGAATTGATTAATGATTTTATCCATATCTAGTTACTACTCTTATAATATAATCGTTTTTACTCTTTGACACAATCCTATCAAACCAGGATCTCTTTGTAACCTTAGGCTCAGTACATTTTGATGACTAAAACTGTCCTTTTTTTAATTCCACCACACCTGTCCCCTCTTCTTTCTCAGTGTTTGCTCATGCATAGTCTAGTGCTAATGGCCTGTGATGTTTTGCATGACAGAACTACTGCTATATGTTGGTGGTATCAAAGCTAATGGTTATTCCGCTCTTGGAAAAATAAATTGGCTAAATCAAAACCAGTTTTGGCTGACTATTCGATAGTTATAATTTTTCCTCTTGGAAAAGTAAACTCTTGTTTTTATTGCATACCATGTGATTATTGTATGTTTTTTGAATGGAAGCCATGAGGAATCTAATAACAAACTACAGTAGGCATAGGAGAATAATGAGGTGGTTGGAGATGAGTCTGTATGTAAGGGGTGCTCTTTTGAGTTGCTTATTGGATTATATGAGCTTCTTAAATGATACAAGAATGCGTAGAAATTCAGAATGCAATTGAAAAGAGACACACTCAAGGGCTAAGAGAACATTGCAATCAGGACTAGACTATTTTGATGTTATCAATGTCATGGACAATCAATTAGCTAGATATGGCAATCTTAGTTTTAAGAGAAGACAGTAATGAAGTTAATTGAAAATCTACCTCTTGGAAGGACATAAAGAAAAATTCTAGTCATAATAAAACAATTCAAACCTTAGTGCCACGTTTGGATCCTTGGAGAAACTTGTTTGAAAAAAAACTATTCCCTGTTAAATATATTTTTTGGAAGAAACATTTATGTAAAATGAGTTTTCACTATTTGGATAACATCTGGATGCAACCTGGAGGATTCATTTCTACTTGGAAATGGGGTTAAATGCAAGGAATTCTAGAGAGCCAAGCATGGTAGAGATAGAGAGAAAAGGAAATGACTAGAGCAAGATGGAAGTTGATAGATATTTTTGTGATGGGGGAGAGACAGAGAGAGATGGGAAATAAAGATATCAGTATTAGGGGATTTGGGGTTAGGCTAGAGGAGGGAGATGAGAAGCGATTGCCCTTTTCTGTTTGGGCCTCAATGAGCTATACGCTCGTTTTAATTTGTTTTTGTTTGGCTTTGTAAGGAAATCTGACAGTGAAATTAATGTTTTAGTTTTTGGGGAGAAAACTAATTTCTCTACTTTGGGCTCAAAATGGAGACATTGATTTCTGCCCCAGATTTCGGATGCAAATGGCAGAAGTGGGGAATCTTCTTGAAAAATATTTCTTGATAGTGTTGTTCTAGGGATCCAAACGGCGTCTACATGACTTAGGAGGGCATGTTAGAATGTAAGGAAGTCATAGAGCAAATGTGAGACTAGAGAAAGCAACAAATAAGATACTAGAATGAATAACTTCAAAGTTCTTTGTTTTGTCAAATTAGATGAAGAAAAGAAAAAAGAAAAAACATTCTTGTCACACTTTAGTCCAATGTTATTGGTCTATTTTTGTTGTCGTATGACCTTTGGGTTACATCGAGGAGTTCCACACCATATTTTGATATAATTATCATAGTGAATGGGGACTTCAATGTGAGTTTGATGTTTTCTACTGTTTTGATTTTGTTAGATCTGTTTTATGTGAATATCATTTATATGTGTAGATGTAATTTGGTCTTCAAATGGCTCCATGCTGTTCAATTTATAGAATTCATTCACACTTTCATGAGTTCTATATGAAAACTACATATGCTCAATTCTTATATTATCATTACTTTCATAGTTATTAGGAACTTTATAATGTTAAGTTGGTACTTTTCAAAAAACCATGATAATTCCAGGGTGGCATTAGAATTTGTGAACGAAATGCAGTCAAAGGCACAGAGAAATGCAGATGCAAGCAAAGAAAAATGCTTAGCAGTCTTTCAGGTTGGAGTTGCATTTATTGATGAAAAAATGGTTTCACAAGCTTCATCAACAGAAGCATGTAGAGCTGTTGAAGAAGTCAGAGATATTGTTTCCAGCATGGGGAATCCATCAAAGGAGTTGCATGTTTTTCCTATTGAAGATATATGTTCCATTGACACTGAAGGCAGTGATGGAAAAGACCGATTGAAGGACTTACTAGATGCCATTGATGATGTAACGGGAAAAGAAGATTTTGTGCAGTATCTGCGAATGATTTCATTACAAAAGGTTCTCTTTTTTCCTCACTTCTCTACGATTATCTGATACTGAAATAGACATGCATCTTTTCTTATATACTTGTTATATTGCAGATTGCTGTTGATCATGGATACAGTAAACTGGTATTGGGTTTGTGCACTTCTAGGATTGCTTGCCATGTGATTGCAGCAACTGTGAAGGTTCGGATGCTACTATACTTTTCTGTTGTCAATTTTTGAGTCATTTTTCTTTGCCTTAACTGAATAAAGTTGTCACAATTCCTATTTAGCCTGGGCTTTTTTTTTCTACTGTTTCTGAGGTGTTTTAGAATTTTGTAAACCAATAATTGGTGTCCAAGTTCATATTTCTTGGTTCTCTTAAACAGCAATAAGTTGAACAAAAGTGTAGAGAATGGCTTAAGCAGATGCTAATTGTGGCTCTGGATTTTTTTATGATTCTTTTGATATGACATAAAAATTGTGGACTTCAAGGGTATTGAGGATTCTGAAAGAGAAGGACTCCTGTGGATTCCTATGACGGCATGAAATCCATAGCTGCACTCTTTTCGTTTTTTTTGGTAGTTATCCCAAATTAGCCAACCGGTCGCAATATTCATACCCCGAGCACACAATTATCCTCACAAAACACAAATTTAAGCACAATCTCTGAAAGTTCAGCAGGTATTTCTCCTGAACTCAATGAAAGTTGGGCCTCATTTCTAATCCACTGGATTACACTCAAGGAGTGACCTTTAATAGGGTTGTGAAAATCATCGAGCAAAAGCATGACACCTTCAAGTGGGCCATACATGTTTCAGCCTTGCTGTGTTTCAACACTAAAGAGACCAATGTCGCGTTCTAAAATCGTTGCCTCCAAACATCAAATGGCATCCCCATTCCTCACCACGTTAGGACATCCTTAAGCTGTTCCATCAAAATTCAGCTTTGGATGTTCCTTAGGAGGAAAGAACCATTCAGCTGCAGGGCAAGGCATAATGATATAATTGTCACTTGCTAGGTTTCAAAGAGTCTTATGCTTGATATTATCAAAAACTAGAAAATATAAAGAGTCCTTGTGCTGGATCCTACTTCTACCTGTCATTTTGTCCATGTTGGAACCAAAGGGTGATGCCCCTTTAGATGTCTGCGTGCAAGAGGTGTCTGTGAAACGCTTTACAAGACTTATCCATGCTTTCCTTCCAAATGCACAAGCTATTTGCTATTGGGACTGACATCTGAAATACTAAGACTCCCATTTCACTGACTTGACCTCACACAAAAAATGAAAGATGGAAAATCCCTATTACTATTATAAAAAGAATACATGCCCCTCCAAATGATCCAACTATAGTGGCAGTGGACCAATAGGTGATGTGCTGTTTCTTTGGTATTTTCTCTCAAAGCGTACATATTACGGAATATAATGCCCTTATGTTGAAGGAAGTTTAATTAAAAGATCTTAATTTTATAGGCTAAGCACTTGTTTCTCAAAAAAGAATTAGCTAACCATCTAAAAGTTGAATACCTCCCCACCCCATTTGCCTTCTCCCCCCTAATCTATTGAACTATGAATAGTTCTCTTGACTCCTACCACATACTTCACCATACTTATTTCACCTGTAACTTCTTCACCAATATCCTCCTTTCTCACAGAGATTCTATGAATCTAGTCCAAATTTTTGTGTATTATCAACTATATGCCTATCAGTGAATTCCTTTTGCGGTCCAACATCCAGCTTATTCCTTGAGGATCCTCACAAAAGCACTTACTAACTTTACATTTTAGGTCATGGTCTCACAAGCCCCAATTTGAGGGCAGTGGAACATACGGGACCTACTTTCATCGTTCGTCTGGTCATAATGGATATCATAATGGATATTTACTTTCATTGCCACTATCAACTGGGCCTATTCCTATATCATTAGTCACTCTGCTTATCTATCTCCAGGTTTCTGACATCTCTATCAAACATCAGTATGCCTTCTGCACTTGAATTCATTAAAATATCTGGACATCGTAAACCTCCATCTTCTTGGCCTGACCTTCTAATGTATTTGGATGGTAAAGCCCTCTTTACTATCTGAATCACACCCAAGTCCCCTTCGTAAGGTTTGAAGCCTCTTTACATTGCCTATGGTGGACCCATTCCCCTAGGCCCCATCTTCTATGGCACGTCATTCAGTCTATATGCATTAGATTACTAAAATGTCTAGGTATTTCAAATGGGGGGCATGATAATAGGTATGTTGTCAAAGAGATTATTGAGACTGATATGCCATTTGAAAGATAAAAGGGTACACTTCGACTCATCAAAAACTCGAACTTGATTCAGGACACAGCCTGGTTCCAAGCCAAATCGACTCACCAAGTCTTTGTGAAACTTGGATTCTCAGAATGTTTTTGGTTGTTTGGAAGCTTACCTAGCAGTTGGGACTTTCCTGAATTTTATGAAAGACTTAGGAAGTGATCAATGATAGGGGTAGAGATATGCACATGAAGTTAGAAAAGAATCCTAAATTGTATAAACCACCAATGTCTCCCCTAATTTAGAGATTTAAAGCAGAAATGCTCCATTGGGATATCATATAGGGACTTTCACCAAGAGCGTATGCATAGAGCGTTGGGTGATTGCAAACTCTATCCCATGTCCTTGTTTCTTTAGAAAGATATATTTGTGGAAGGGTAGAAAAAAAAACCCATGCTCATTCCCTTTATTTGAGAGAGTACAAGAGAAAAAGAGGAGAAAGAGAAAAAGAGGAGTAATTTGGATAAAGAAGAAGAAGAAAACCTCTAGGAGCATGACCACAATCCAAGAAAAACGTAGATGGGAAGAAGAAACCAGTGTGGACGACAAAAACTGCTCTTAGTCATCCATTTCCACAGCAAAGGCTTGGGAAAAGAGAAGGGGAGAGAGAGGAGGTCACTTATGGTCTCATTCTTCATCTTTTCGAGGAATCAGTCTCTTGTCTCAATAAAAGGGGAAGGATTTTTCCTTACCAGACTGGTACTAATGTCAGTAGTTGCAAAGATATGAAGCTAGTTTGTTTTGGTAAGTGATCTTAAAGCTCATTGTTCAATTTTTTATTCTCTTACTTTAATTTTGCCAACTTGGTGGTCATGGATGTTTCATTAGATTAGTGTTTTATCAAGATAAGAAAATGTGTGTCCTGCTGTTTGTTTTGTGTTCAGGTTTTGTTTCTTATTATTATTTACTTAATCCCGATGCATGCAACAACACAATCTGGGAATAGTTGAGGATCGATTAAAGGCTTAGACCATCATGGATGGTATTTTTGGTTTCAGAGCCCCTTTTTTTTTAGTGGTCATAAATGCAATCAAAGTTGATAGCAAATGTGGGATCAACAGAGTTTTAATCTTGAAGTCAAAGCTATTGAGGGACCAAAAGCCTTCATACCGGAGAGCTTTGACTGAAGTCAAAGCTATTGAGGGACCAAAGGCCTTCATACCAGAGAGCTTTGATTTGTATTTGGTTGTTTGAGGGTAGTACGTGTGGGATGTGTCGCCCACTCATCTCCATAAGTTGTTGGGAGAGATATCCCAACAAAACCAACATATTTTGGGTCTCTCTAAATAAAAGAACAGTATCAACAAAGTGAATTACTGGAGAATAAGGGCAACTCCAAGAGCAAGCTTTTCAAGTTTCTTTCTATACGTTGGCCCTCTGTAAAAAAGTTGATACATAGAGAAAAAAAGAACAATAAAAAAAGAGGATAAAAAGGAGAAAGAAATAGAACCTAGGTTGCTAGTATAGTTCATTTCTTCATAAGTACGCCAATTTTTTGATTTGCTGAGAATAAATAAAATATTATTGCTTGGAGTGGGTTAACTTGAGGTTTGGTTTTCGATTTTTCTCAGCCACTAATCAACAATAGAAAAACAAAGGGAAATAGTGAATGGAGGAAGAAAGAAACACGAAGAAGACACAATTTTATTAATCTTGCTATTATTGGAAAACGGAAACACAAGAAGAAGAAGAGAGACAAAATTTTATTATTCTTGTTGGTAAAAAACTCTTTCCCTTTTCATTGGGACCAGGAACAAATTTATTCAGTAGGATGGGAAGCAAAATCATAAAGAGATCCGTTCTCTTTTACCTTCTCTTCCATGAGCCTTTACTCTGCGAATGGATGAATAAGATGAGTTTTTGTCTTCTTTACTAATCTCATCTTCTTCTTTTCTACCATTCTCCATGATCATCATTGTGCTCCCTTTTGGAGGGCTCTCTCTCTCTTTCTTTCTCTCTCTCTCCCCCCATTCTTCCTCTCCTTTTTGCCCTCACATTTCTCTTCTGCTCCTTTAGAGAGAGTACCAATGGGTGTATTTTTTTTTTCTTTCTCCCCTTCATTACGTACATATTTTCCCAAAGAAACAAGGACATGTAGAGTTTTAACCAACTTTCCCACAATTCTTCTCTTTGGAGAGAGTCCTATATATTATACGCCCTAGGGGGGCTTTCCTCTTTAAATCCCTAAATCAAAGGGATCTGGGTAGAGTTTAAGCGATTTGGGAATCTTTTGCAACTGTGTGGATGTCTCCAAATCTATCATTATTTGTATTTTCTTTCCTCCAGAGTAATTATGGATCATCAAGTCTTTCTAAGTTTCACCATTTTCTTCCCCAAAGAATCCAAATGTTTTAAAACTTGCCAGGTGCCCGAATCAAGATGAACCCATTGTGTCTGAAGCATAAACTTCTAGGATATCAATATTTGAGGGGAAAAGTTTATATAGAGCCAAGGCTCTAAACAATCAAATTAGAGCCTACCTCAAAAATTTCACTAGAAGAGGTTGTTTTGATGCCCAAATATCCTCAAATTGATCATCTCGGCATCAAGATGAATGGACATGAGAAAAAAATGGATTTCAAGTTTTGGGAATAGTGTATTTTGTAATGTATCTTGGGACCGTCAATTTTCAAGATTTTCAAGTATTCATAGATCTGTCGATCTACACTATTTTTTAAGCTTTAAACTTTATAAATAAAGACGAAAATATATTTTAAGGCTATCACAAAGATTTCCAGTATTGAAACCACATTTCTTCACTTTTTGAAGGTAGGCTCTAATTTGATTGTTTAGAGCCTAGGCTATATACAAACCGCACCTTATTCCACATTTACTTTCTTGATGCACAAACTTGCAGCAGGGAGGGTTGGAGGGAGATCTAGCATGGATATCTAGGAGTTCCAACCAATATGATGATATGCCTTTACCATGTTCTCTTATAGACCATGGTATGTTCTTTAAATTTGTGCCAAGAATCAACAAGTTCATGAGCCATTTAAGGCACTCTTCAGGATTTGGATAGAAAGCTAATGAGTTGAAATGACATCTTTGAAACATTCTGGACAGAATATAGTCATAATTTTTCACAAGTCATCAACTAAAAACTTCACTAACTATCTCATTGGAATTCTTGTCATGGAGGAATGCCTAGTATATGCTTCAGCATTTTACAATTTTCAAAGGACCCACGGTTGCCTAGAGGCCTCATCTTCTCACTAGTGATCCTCTAATTAACTTCAATCACATTAATTTTGTTCATTTTTTCACGAAAACTGACCAACAAGTGGAAAATCCAGTTCTAAACAAAAGAGCCTGAGGGCATGATAGTTTTGGCCCCAAAAGATGTCCTCTTTGACTAACTGTTTCTTTAACTTTAGGGGAATTTCTCAAAATACACCTAACTTGTCAACTATTGTTTTACCCATTTTCAACTAAACTCATGATCATGTGTATCTTGATGGGTTTTTGAAATTAAATAGAAAGACATGGGTAAAATATTAAATAGTTCATCGCTTAGGTATATTTTGATATATTTCCCTTAATTTTAACTTGAAGCAAACATGTGCCTTTTGTTCTCTTTAGACAACTGGTATTGATCCATTCAACCGAGAAACACCAGTGTGTTCTAAGGCTTCCCTTTTTTGTGAATTTTATCGAAGACTTTCTTTTACCGTATTTTCAGTGTTCAGCCTACGTTCATGGAATTGAAAGATTTTTTGGCCATTGAATTGTGCATTGGAAATATCCAATTGACATCTCCTTGCCTGGACAACTATTTTCAGGGACAAGGATACTCCTTACCTGCTGACGTACAATATGTTGATGCAAGATGGGAAGTCCCTGTGTTGTGTCCTCTCCATGATTGTGTCATACAAGAGCTGACTATGTTGTGTCAGCTCGATAAGTGAGTGTGCCATCTTATGAGACATATATTACAATTTGTTCCAAATAGAATGAAGTTGAAGAATCTTGTTTGCAGGGCAGTTTGAAAACTTTGCAGCCACTTAAGGTGCATCAGCCGAGTGTCAACAGTATAATATCTTCCTTTGTGGCATTATTGCAGGTATGATGGCATTGTTTTCTTTTATTTTTTCTCGATGGCCTTTTGTGCATGTACTGCTCCTGTATTTACTGCGAAACCCCTATCTCATTTACCTTGCAGGAGGAAAATCCTTCAAGGGAGAGGACAATTGTAAAGACAGCGGAGAAACTCAGATCATTCAGTTTCAATAAGCTAGTTCATTCTATTGATAAGCTAGCATTTAGGAGGAGGCATAGGTTGCTTAGGTTCAACTGTATTGAGTCCACTTCTTCAGAGGCCCTCTGTGCAATTTGCAGTAGCCCACTTGAAAAATCAGGCGTCCCATGTAGTAATAGTGAGCTTGAGTATTCTCAATCTGAGATGGTCATGTTTCGATCTGTATGCTGTCCTAGTTGTCAGTTTCAAATTCTTCCAGAGGAGCCATTGGACATGGAGCGCTTCTATTCATTTCTGCCCCAGTCGATGATCAGAAAAGCAAATGGAGATGTCATTGCTGATCAGAACTCGCTAAGGTAAACATATTATTTAATTTTTACCGTGCCTTGTGGATTGATTGAACCAATAATGATTAAGAGTGACCCTCCCAAAGAAAAAACTCTAATTGGAGTTGGTTTTGTGTCATTTATCATTAGGGATCAAATACAAGACTGCTTGCTCTCTGAGGATGAGGATGGAGCATAGTTATATGACTCCCTTGAAGTTTACTACATAATCATTGGACTCCCAAGGAGATCACGCTTTTGGGTTTGTATGTGTTGTGCTCTTTGATGATAGCCAACCCTAAATGGTGGGGATAAGGCTATGATGATGACGATGATTGTGTTATGCTCTTTGATTTTAATAGAAAAAATGTATTTATTTATCGGATAAAGAATGGTTCTTAGTTTATATATGGTACTTCAGTTTTTCCTGTTGTGCATATGCTCCTTTCATATTAAAAAAAAATCGAATGAGCTCTGCAATGGCAAATTGCTTGCCTGGACAACTTGATCTATCTCTTAGCCTGTGCAGTAGCACAATTCTCAGTGACATTCTTAATTGCATCATCAACAATGAATTCTCTTATTAGTTTATTCACTATATTTGTTTACTTGTTTTCTTGGATATGCTTGGTTGTTATCAACCAGCACAACAGTTCATGTGTGCGCTTGTTTGAGTGACAAAATTGACCGAAAGAATAAACACCATGTAAGAAAACTTGTCAAAGCAAATCAATAAGGTTGCAATCTTAAACAATCCAATTAAGGTGCACCTCCAAATTTTATCGTAACATATAATTTTGGTGTAAAAATTTATTAGGATTATCTGAAAATCTATTTTTATATCTAATTATAAAAATTTAAGCCCAAAAATAGTCAAAATCAGGCAGAACTATAACCATATGAAAAGTTTGAAAATGGACGGTCTAGATAATGTGTTGTAAGATGCATTATTTTCACGACTCAAAATCTTTTTTTTTGTAATATTCATACATCTTTATGTCTAGATGAACAACTAGAGAGTTTTTCACCGTTGAAACGACCTTCTCCAATGGATTTTTGAGGTGCATCCGTATTTCTACATTTTAAAGTCGCAACCTTATATAAACTTTTTCCAATCTTATATATCTCAAATCTGACACAAATCTTTTCCACTGCATCTTCTCATTCACAATCCCATCCTCTTAAATTTCATGTTCAACACAAAATTATGAGGAAAATATTATACTACATGGTTTCTGGGATCAAGGGCGGCGATAGGCAAGGCCTAGGCCAGCTCTACTCTTAGGCTAGGTGGCTCATCTTTCTAATTAATGGGCTGGGCTGGGCTAA